CAGAGAGGGGGCAAAAACCTTTTCACGGCACTGTATATATATATATATATATATATATATATATATATATATATAAAGCAAAGTAGCAAACAAATGTCCTGCATACCTACACTGTAAAAAAATTGAAGTTGTAAATAAAGTTTATCTGAATAAGTTTAGCAGTCTTTTTACTTAATTTCATGTTTAATTCAATGTATTACTTTCCATTTCTTTGTCATTAACAGAAATATACTAGGAATTTCTGAGTGAAAATTGTTCACATTTTACATGGTTTCTATATTTTTACAGATTACCTCCAATACAAAACATTTCTGGACAAAATTTTATGATTTCTACAACAGTTAAAGTCAAGACCCTGTCCGATCAAGATCTAGCCTGGAAACAAGCGGTCCATTTTAATAGATTTTTTCATCTGAATCCCAGAACTCATTTTTACGATTGTCAAGTAGCCATTTAGAGCAACCGGATTCTTGCAAATTCCCTCTAAGCATGCTGACCAGTGGTTGAGGAAATTATCATCTTTTGTACAGAAATAGACCTTAAACCAGAAGCAGACCCAGACTTTTTAAATCACAGGACCTAAAACCCTGCAAAGGTTATATCTGGTACTTAAGATGATCTTGTAAAACTCCCAAATTCATTTTAAGTTCTTCAGCAGTTAAAACAAATGAAATGTTCCACCTGTTAATTCACAGACAATAAGCATTTACATGTCTGAATTGTGCCTCGGTAAAACCAGTCCAACGAAAGTCACTCTGCAAATCACTGATTTTCAGTTGTTTTAATGGAGACATTGACTAACCTTATTCTGTGATGAGTTACATTAGTTTCCGACTCACAGTCAGACTTAGAAAAAAAAAAAAGTATATCAATATGCCATTTGCTGCAAAACTAAGATACATTATTTACATTCCAAAAAACAAACAGAAACATCAAAACAAAATAAGAATAATAATAACAACAGTGCCGATGGTTCTTAGGGATGGGAGTGAATACTGAAGCCTAGAAATGGCAAGTTAAAATTCTGAACTGAGTCCCAGAATGACTCTATGGTGCGCCCCGGGGGCCGGAGCCAAAGCAAAGACATTTCAAGAACATCGGAGATGTTCGTCATCTCTTCAGACATTTACAAAAACACTTTGTAAGAAATAAACTAAATACTTAAACAGACCAGGAAGCAAAATGTTCCCGATCTCATTCTTAACGTTCCATTGCAGTAGCCCGTCTGAATCCGGGAGGTTTCCTGAAGTGCACTTGCTCCTGAGGCACCTGTCGGATCCTGTCCATCTTCAGCCACGTCTCACGCTAGAAAACAACAGGTGGGAATATCCTGAAAAGGGACGAGGGTTGAGGGGGGAAAAATGGTTGGGAAAGCAAAGGAATGGATGGTGCTTTTAGGGAAAATGTGCAAATCAATTTCCTATCTAAATCACCGTTGGCCATTTTGTTTTGGCATTCGAGGGCTGGAACGATAAAGAAAAAATACTGGAGCGATTAACCATCCCTCTTCTCTCTGTCTGGTTAAAAAACATGTTTTCAGTCACTGATGTACATTTTTTGGCCCCACAGGGCACCTACTGCAGTAGTGCATAAATGAAACAAAAAACAGGAACCGTCACTGTTTTCCTACAGTTTGAAACCATCCCACAATAATAATAACAACAATAATAATAATGCTTCAAAGATGCAGGAAATTATTGCCTAAGGCATGATTCTATACAATATTTTCAGTTCATACTTTGTAAGTGTTTAAGGAAAACAATCCTTGTATCTGCTACTTGTTCAAAAAGAATGTTCAGCTTGATTACTCTAGTTTTGTGCCTTAGTCCTTTTTCACATTTTCCACTTTTTTCCTTACAACTTCAGTTCGTTGGCAATTTTCGAGGCGATGTTCTTGAAAGCGATGGACGTTCCTGATATCCGCTTGAAGCGCACGCCGTTTAGCGAGAGGCGGGGCAGTTTGCACACCTCCATCTCCCATTGGACCAAGCTCTCTGCGTGGCCGTCGCCGTGGACGCACAGAAGCAGGAAGCGCTCGCGCTGCTCGTAATCGCAGTTGTTGGCGTCCAGGACTTTGCGGATCTCGCGCATCATCTCTGTGGGCTCCATGGAGGAGGTGGTCTTCATGCTCCAGGTGAAGCGTAGCGAGCGGGGTTTGGCGTCTTTATGTTCCTCTTTCTGATCCCCAGATACATTACGACTGCAAGAGACCAGAGAAAACAGTCATTTTTCATTTCAGGTGTATTTTAGATCTAGTTCATTGTTCATATATAGCTTTCAATTGGTTTGTATGATCAAAAATGGAAATGTAACCAAGATTTCCGTTTTGAATTGTATTTTAAATGTAGATGTACACTTACAATTAGAGTAGTGTAGATGTATATGTGACCCTGGAGCCCAAAACCAGTCTTGAGTCGCTGGGGTATATTTGTAGCAATAGCCAAAAATACATTGTTTGGGTCAAAATGATCAATTTTTTTTTAATGCCAAAAATCATTAGGACATTAAGTAAAGATCATGTTCCATGAAGATATTTTGTAAATTTCCTACCGTAAATATATCAAAACGTAATTTTTGATTAGTAATATGCATTGCTAAGAACTTCATTTGGACAACTTTAAAGGCAATTTTCTCAGTATTTAGATTTTTTTGCAGCCTCAGATTCCAGATTTTCAAATAGTTGCATCTCGGCCAAATATTGTCCTATCCTAACAAACCATACATCAATGGAAAGCTAATTTATTCCGCTTTCAGGTGATGTATAAATCCCAATTTCACAAAAATTGACCCTTATCTTTTGGTTTTTTGGTTCAGGGTCACATATTTACAACTTACAGTTTTAATTAAGTTTTTTGAAAACACCTACACTATTTTTTTCCCCATTAAGTACATCAGAATTGACAGAAAAGTTTTGGATCAGTTAGATGTCCCCCCCCCCCCCCC